TGAGGAAACGGCACCAGCAAGAGGTACAGGGGCATCAGGAGTGTCCAAAGAGTGGTCTAAACACAAGGCAGGGTCAGAATGGGGTGCGGTATCAAGAAGGGGCCTGGGGGTAGTGGGTTCATGGATTGGGTTCTCCATGGTTAGGTTACTTTGTTTTTTGTTTTTAAGAAAAAAAAAGAAAAAATAAAAAAAGGGGGGAGCGGGGAGGAATAGTTCCCAGGAGGAATGAAAGGGCCGGAAATCTCCCTCCGCACCCGCACCCAAGAGGACCTCAGCACGGCTAGTAGCGCAGATGCAGCATGGAACCCATGCCATACCCTACCCTTCATGCCAGTAAACCAGCAATCCGGGATAGCAACCTCACATCTGCCAAGCTACCTCGGTGGACAAGAGAGGGCGGCCGGATATCCGCCACAAAGCATACCTCCTTCGGCCACCACCCCCAGAATCCGAAAGGTGGCTTCCAGAGATACACCCTTCGCCCAAAAGACACCCAAAGCTACTCCGGGATACCGGAGAGGGATTCGGACATCCCCAGGCGATCCAGATTCCACGGCAAACTACGCCACCGCCAAGAACCTCAACGGAATGGGATGGACCCCGGTATCCTTTCCCCTACCTAGGAACTAGCACGCCTGTGGGAGAAATCCCAAAGGCCAAAAAGAGGAAGGGCAAAAGGGAGGGGTGGGGAGGAGGAAAGGAAAAAGGGGAGGATGGGATAGGGAAGGGGAGATTGGGGGGTAATTAGGTTCGGTCTGAGGAAGAAGACCGACAGGTCAAATTCCTCAGACCAAGAGCCTCTTCACCACACCAAGGAGCCCCCCTTGAAGAGGAGCGATGGCATGAGAATGAGAGCGGAAGAAAAAGAGCGGGAAGCCACCGTAGGCAGTTGGGCTTTCGAGCAAGGAAGTGAGAAAGAAAAAGACCCGAACAGCTGGAACTTCCCAGGGGGGAAGGGAAAAAGCGAGATGCTACATGAACATATAAAGGTGGTAACTGAAGGGAAGACAAGAACGAATGTAGGCGAAGAGAAAAGGGATGGAGCAAACAGGGGCGGCGAACAAATAAAGAACGTCTACTAATATCAGTGAACATTCTATAAATGGAAGGATTGTGGAGATCGTGAGAGTGTACATAGTAGCGAAGGCAATGGGCATCACAGTGATCAGACAAGGATGGAACATTCGCTTCTGTATAGAGGCTCTCAACAGGGGAAGAGCGAAAAGCACCAAGGCATAAACGTAATCCGTGGCGATGTATGGGGTCAAGGCTAGCTAGAGTAGCAGGAGAGGCAGCTGAATAAATCTAGTCACCATAATCGAGTTTCGATAAAAGGAGGGCTGAATGTAGGCGAAGCAGAGTTCGACGATCAGCTCCCCAGGAAAGATGAGCAAGGCTTTTAAGAAGGTTTAGCCGGCTGTGACAAGTTGCCTTCAGAGAGGTAATGCAAGGTTTCCAGGATAACCTAAGGTCAAAGAGAAGGCCTAGAAACCCACTATCAGGTTCCGGGATAAGGGAGCCATAGATACAAAGGATGATCAGAGATGAAAGAGCGTCTAGTGAAAGTAATTTGGCGAGTTGGTCCAGCCTGAAATGGGCGGGCAATTCGAAAATTGCCGTACCGCAGAGGGAGAAGCTGAAGCATAGTGAAAGGATGAGCGGAGTTCAGACAAATCGAAGGAGTCAGTCGAGTCAGTCCAAGCCCCTTTCCCTAAAGGGGGCGAGGAAACAGCACCGGGAAGAGGTCAGGGGCATCGGATGTCCAAAGAGTGGTCTAAAACAAGGCAGGGTCAAATGGGGTGCGTATTCAAGGTTAAAAGAAGGGGCCCAGGGGTATGGGTTCATGGTTTGGGTTCCCATGGTTAGGTTACTCCTTTGCTTTTTGTTTTTAAAAAAAAAGGAAAATAAAAAAAAAAGGGGGGGGGGAGCGGGGAGGAATATTCCCAGGAGGAATGAAAGGGGCCCCGGAAATTTCCTTCGGCCCCCAAGAGGCCCTCAGCAGCGCTAGTAGACAGATGCAGCATGGAACGTGTCCCCATACCCTACCCTTCTGCCAGAACCAGAATGGGGGATAGCAACCTCACTTTCTGCCGAGCTCCCGGGGGAAAAAGGGCGGGGGCCCGGGATATCCCCCACAAAGCATACCCCTTCGGCCACCCCCCCCGGAATCCGAAAGGTGGTTTCCCAGAGAACCCCCATCCCCCCGAAAAAACCCCCAAAGTCTCCCGGATCCGGAGAGGGAGGGGGAAAACCCAGGTGACCCAGTTTCCCCGGGCAAACACGCTACCACCAAAAACCTAAACGGAATGGGATGGACCCCGGTATCCTTTCCCCACCTGGAACTAGAAAGCTGGGGAAAAATCCAAAGGCCAAAAAGAGGAAGGGCAAAGGGAGGGGTGGGGGGAGGGGAAAAGGGAAAAAAAGTGGAGGAGGGGTGGGGAGGGGGGGATTGAGGGGAAAATTGGTTCGGTCTGAGGGACAGACAGGTCGCTTCCAGAGTTTACCCCTCACTCAAAAGACTTGTAACCGCCCCCAAGGATAAGGAGGGATTTGGCCCCCCAGATGATGCAGTTTCCCAGGCAAACTATACCACCAAAAGGCCTTTTGGGAAAAGGGGTTGGAATATCCTTTCCCCCCAACCCTACCTGGGAAAAATGCCTAAAAGGGGTCCAAAGGTAAAAGGGAGGAGAGTGGGAAAGGAGGGTGGGGGTAAGAAAAGGGGGAGAAGGGGTGCAGGGTAATTATGTTTTGGTCGAGGAGACTACCGAAGGTTAAAATTTTCAGAAATTCTCTACCCCTTCAAAGGGTCCCCCCCCTCCCCTTTAAAAAACATCTCCAAAAGACTTGGGGTTTAGCAATTTTAAAATTAAGGGCCTTTAGGCCTCGCTTTGCCCTAGTGTGAATGACCCACAAGGTACTGTTGAGCACTTTTTCTAGCATTTAACATGCGGCAGGTTTCAAAAACCCCCTTTTGAAGTGTTGTTTTCGCGGGGAGTATTGGGTCCCACAAGGGGTTATGTGCTGTGCGGTCAGTTGGTTGGGTTTAAAAAGGGCGGGGTTTTTTGGCCTGCCCCCCTCTTTGGGAAGTGCGTCTGCCAATTTTGGGCCCCTAATTCTAAATGGTTTTTTCCTTTAGCAGCATAGGAAGCAAGACATGGATTAAGACTGCCATGGGGCAAATTTTTTTTTTAAAGGTTTTTAAAAAAACAACCAACAATTTTAAACTTTCTTCATCTCAAAAAAAAAAAAAAAAAAAAAATTTATAATGGCGGCAAAGTAAAACATGGCACCCCTTAAAATTATTCTATTGCAAATCATGAGTTAGTGGAATTATTTTGTCCCATGCCATTAAAGACAACCCGAATGGGAACAAATCTCTTTTAAACAAATTTATTCCCCCAAATTAACCCTTTCCTTTTTCCGTGTGAAAAATTTAAAAAAGCATCTAAAGGTTTTACTATATTTTTAAAGCATGATAATTTTGACTATAGTAAAAAATATAATTTATATTCATTTACAGCTGTGAATATCACTAGGACAAGATTTACAAGTCACTGTCACCTAATTAACCTGCCTTTTAACAATAGCTTTATTAAAAAATAAAAAAAAATAAAAAGAGGGAGGGGGGGGCACCAATCCTCACCACCATACTTTTGGTAAGTACAGCACATTCTATATAGAACTAAAACAAGAAAAGTTGCTTCAGTGCCATCCCAATGAAATCATTAAATCAGGATTATGATTATTAATATAGTGTGTTCTACACTCCATTTTATCACAAATAGGCAAGGGGATATAACCAGATGAATGAAATAGAAGTAATCAAACAGGAAATAAAAATTATTCTGCCACACATTTATCTATTATCTCCCCTTACCACTCACAATCACAGTTTCACGTTTTGTCGTCAAAAAATTTGTCCAAGCCGCCACACCACAAACAATGTGCAAAATTGAGGGATTTCCGCATAATTCCAAATGCCAAAGCCTTTAATGTGGCTCGACTTTTTTTTCCGCTTTAAAACCTCAATGTCACAAAAAATATCATCCACTGCCACAGAAACTAGATATCTCAGAAGAGCAATAATTCTTAGACAAGATTTAATCCACCGATATAATAATTCACATTATACAAGAACCCACAAGCTGTATACATTTTTATTAAACAAGCTTTTGTTGTCATATTTACTACTTGCAAAAGGCCCAAACACCAAATAACAAGTTTTACACAGTAAATGCAAGTAATGAAATAAAGTCATATTTAGCACTGTATGCAGAGAAATACTACACATTTCCCCATTAGAAAAAATCAAAATGTTATATACTTACATGATGCAGGCATAATACTGGCTAAAAAGCTTTAGTGTGATAAATAGCTACAAGGCCAGAATATCATCTACACCTGTGGCTTAGTAATTTTTAATATGAATTATATTACAAAATTTAGAACATACTTTTATACTAGGTAACCTTATTTCATCTAACATTCATTATATAAGACTACTATCTGCTACCCAAGAAGTTAAGATTACTCCTCAATAGTGAACATCAGAACTTTAATGAAGGGTCTAAGTTTTAAATTTTTAACTATGAAAAAGTTTCCCAGCATTGAACAAAACATTACCATTAGCCTTAGTCAAAGAACTAAGTTTGTGTTTGTGCAAATTACTTTTAATTTTATGATTCAAAGACAACTTCTAGAGGCTTATCCATATGACTTTACCAAATGATTAAGCATTGAATACAACCACACAGCCAATAGCAATTAAAAAAATATGAATAAAGTAAGATCTGCTTTTAGTGTAATCAGAGAACAATGCAACAAAACGAAATACTAACCTTACAAGCTTTGGGGGGTAGGTAAAAAAATGTATTATGTATAGAAATTCAAATGATGTCAGGGCCTGGATTAATTATGCAAATCAGGAATGCATACCTCTATACAGCACTATTAAAATTAAGATACCTTATAATTTCAAGAAATTTTAACTTTGGAGGGAGAAAAAAAAAAAAAAAAAAAAAAAAAAAAAAGGGGGTATTCCTGATGACCATTAGCCCTTAAATGAAGTCCTCAGGTTTACAAGTTGTCAATGTCTAAGTCACTGTCGTCATCATCATCATCATCCTCATCCTCTTCCCCAGGACCAACAATTTTGGGAGCTTCCGCTACAATTGGTTTTGTATCTCCTGCAATCTTAGCCTCTTGTTCTTTTAGAGATTGGCTCAATGCACGAGGATCAAACTGGAATAGTAGGGAAAATTATTGTAATTAGATACACTAGTTATGGTTAGTTAAAACTAAAACAAGATATAGTAATTACAAACCCGCACACAGCACATTCCAAATCTAAGTAGCACTAAGGAATCTTGACAGTCATTTGAGGCCCTTTATCAAACATATGCCAGATCCATCTTTATGGTGCAACAGTATGAAAGCCATACCTGAAATAGCATGTTATGCTGAAGAAAGTGGAAAAGCATACAACAAATCCTGTTCCTCAGCTAAGAGGCATAAGGTACAAGAAGCTAACATTGGCAAACAAAATCAGGGGAGATCAACATTTAAAATAATCTGAATTTATAGGGTAGACAGGCTGTTTGAGAGGCAAGGAAACGGCTGGAAATTGAACATACAGGCAAGCCACAAGGATGGTAATATTTTTTCAGTCTCAATGATGGTCAGGACATAGCATGATCTTTAACCCTTTCAGGATCCGTCCCATAGTTTTACACTGAGCTCATCTAAGTTGTGAGTGGTAAATCTGGGCCTAGATATGAGAATGGGTCTGTGGTAAGTGTGCACCATATTCCCCCCCCCCAACAAGTCGGCCGTCTCCCACCGAGGCAGGGTGACAAAAAAGAAAGAAAATCCCCAAAAAGAAAATACTTTCATCATCATTCAACACTTTCACCACACTCGCACATTATCACTGTTTTTGCAGAGGTGCTCAGAATACAACAGTTTAGAAGCATATATGTATAAAGATACACAACATATCCCTCCAAACTGCCAATATCCCAAACCCCTCCTTTAAAGTGCAGGCATTGTACTTCCCATTTCCAGGACTCAAGTCCGACTATATGAAAAAAAACCGGGTTTCCCTGAATCCCTTCACTAAATATTACCCTGCTCACACTCCAACAGATCGTCAGGTCCCAAGTATCATTCGTCTCCATTCACTCCTATCTAACACGCTCATGCACGCTTGCTGGAAGTCCAAGCCCCTCGCCCACAAAACCTCCTTTACCCCCTCTTTCCAACCCTTTCGAGGACGACCCTACCCTCCTTCCTTCCCCTATAGATTTATATGCTTTCCATGTCATTCTACTTTGATCCATTCTCTCTAAATGACCAAACCACCTCACAACCCCTCTTCTGCCCCTGACTAATGCTTTTATTAACTCCACACCTTCCCCTAATTTCCACACTCGAATTTTTCTGCATATTTACACCACACATTGCCCTTAGACAGGACATCTCCACTGCCTCCAACCGTCTCCTCGCTGCTGCATTTACCACCCAAGCTTCACATCCATATAAGAGTTGGTACTACTATACTTTCATACATTCCCTTCTTTGCCTCCATAGATAACGTTTTTTGACTCCACATATACCTCAACACACCCCCTCGCCTTTTTTCCCCTCATCAATTCTATGATTAACCTCATCCTTCATAAATCCATCCGCCGACACGTCAACTCCCAAGTATCTGAAAACATTCACTTCTTCCATACTCCTCCCCAATTTAATACCCAATTTTTCTTTATCTAAATCTTTTGATACCCTCATCACCTTACTCTTTTCTATGTTCACTTTCAACTTTCTACCTTTACACACATTCCCAAACTCATCCACTAACCTTTGCAATTTTTCTTTAGAATCTCCCATAAGCACAGTATCATCAGCAAAAAGTAACTGTCAATTCCCATTTTGAATTTGATTCCCCATAATTTAACCCCACCCCTCTCCCGAACACCCTAGCATTTACTTCTTTCACAACCCCATCTATAAATATATTAAACAACCATGGTGACATTACACATCCCTGTCTAAGACCTACTTTTACCGGAAAGTATTTTCCCTCTCTTCTACACACCCTAACCTGAGCCTCACTATCCTCATAAAAACTCTTTACAGCATTTAGTAACTTACCACCTATTCCATAAACTTGCAACATCTGCCACATTGCTCCTCTATTCACTATCATATGCCTTTTCTAAATCCATAAATGCAATAAAAACTTCCCTACCTTTATCTAAATACTGTTCACATATATGCTTCAATGTAAACACTTGATCTACACATCCCCTACCCACTCTGAAGCCTCCCTGCTCATCCACAATCCTACATTCTGTCTTGCCTCTAATTCTTTCAATTATAACCCTACCGTATGCTTTTCCTGGGGTTATAATTGAAAGAATTAGAGGTAAGACAGAATGTAGGATTGCGGATGAGCAGGGAGGCTTCAGAGTGGGTAGGGGATGTGTAGATCAAGTGTTTACATTGAAGCATATATGCGAACAGTATTTAGATAAAGGTAGGGGAATCAAATTCAAAATGGGAATTGACACAGTTACTTTTTGCTGATGATACTGTGCTTATGGGAGATTCTAAAGAAAAATTGCAAAGGTTAGTGGATGAGCAAGTAGTGCATAATGGAAAAAATGGACTGGTTTAAAATAATGACTTTGCGGTGTACCGTCCTATGATTTTTACGGTTGTATTCTTAGTCTCATTTGACAGAACGAGATATATATTACAGAAAGAGATGATTCTGATTGGTGTCTGGACTGAAAGTAGCTTGAAACCGAGCTCAAAGTAGCAGAAATATTTTATTTTTGCCGATATTCCAGAGAATACAAATGATGTTACTCTTCCAATTCATGTCCAACTGGCCAGTCTAATACACACTTAGGATTGCACTGACAATCATACAATTAAAATACAGTAGTTTGCATAACAGTAAATTACTTTTTTGTACGAATAAAATTTCAAAATGGTGTATGGTGTAGGAGGTAGGTTACTGAAAGCAGTGAAGAGTTTTTACGAGGATAGTGAGGCTCAAGTTAGAGTATGTAGGAAAGAGGGAAATTATTTCCCAGTAAAAGTAGGCCTTAGACAAGGATGTGTGATGTCACCGTGGTTGTTTAATATATTTATAGATGGGGTTGTAAGTAAATGCGAGGGTCTTGGCAAGAGGCGTGGAGTTAAAAGATAAAGAATCACACACAAAGTGGGAGTTGTCACAGTTGCTCTTTGCTGATGACACTGTGCTCTTGGGAGATTCTGAAGAGAAGTTGCAGAGATTGGTGGATGAATTTGGTAGGGTGTGCAAAAGAAAATTGAAAGTGAATACAGGAAAGCGTAAGGTTATGAGGATAACAAAAAGATTAGGTGATGAAAGATTGGATATCAGATTGGAGGGAGAGAGTATGGAGGAGGTGAATGTATTCAGATATTTGGGAGTGGACGTGTCAGCGGATGGGTCTATGAAAGATGAGGTGAATCATAGAATTGATGAGGGGAAAAGGGCGAGTGGTGCACTTAGGAGTCTGTGGAGACAAAGAACTTTGTCCTTGGAGACAAAGAGGGGAATGTATGAGAGTATAGTTTTACCAACGCTCTTATATGGGTGTGAAGTATGGGTGATGAATGTTGCAGCGAGGAGAAGGCTGGAGGCAGTGGAGATGTCATGTCTGAGAGCAATGTGTGGTGTGAATATAATGCAGAGAATTCGTAGTTTGGAAGTTAGGAGGTGCGGGATTGCCAAAACTGTTGTCCAGAGGGCTGAGGAAGGGTTGTTGAGGTGGTTCGGACATGTGGAGAGAATAGAGCGAAACAGAATAACTTCAAGAGTGTATCAGTCTGTAGTGGAAGGAAGGCGGGGTAGGGGTCGGCCTAGGAAAGGTTGGAGGGAGGGGGGGTAAAGGAGGTTTTGTGTGCGAGGGGCTTGGACTTCCAGCAGGCATGCGTGAGCGTGTTTGATAGGAGTGAATGGAGACAAATGGTTTTTAATACTTGACGTGCTGTTCGAGTGTGAGCAAAGTAACATTTATGAAGGGGTTCAGGGAAACCGGCAGGCCGGACTCGAGTCCTGGAGATGGGAAGTACAGTGCCTGCACTCTGAAGGAGGGGTGTTAATGTTGCAGTTTAAAAACTGTAGTGTAAAGCACCCTTCTGGCAAGACAGTGATGGAGTGAATGATGGTGAAAGTTTTTCTTTTTCGGGCCACCCTGCCTTGGTGGGAATCGGCCAGTGTGATAATAAAATAAAAAAAAAAAATTCAAAATGGAAAGCAAGCATAATATAAGAGGCCTGGGGTTGTAACTAGTGAACAGAGGGAATGTTTTTAGTGCCAGTAATATCTACTGTTTATTTTGGATCCTATTTTTAAATTGGCAATTTGTGTGAAACTGGCCAAATTACCAATTTCTGATCACTAATGGATAGTTGTAATAGGTAAATGGGGGTTTCTTGTACTCAACAGAATAGGAATACGTATTAGCAAAATAGCTGGAATAATAAAATTGGCCCAAAATAGTGCTCAAAGTGGGCAAAACCGTGTGTAAACATTGCTGAGATCACTAACTCTGCAAGAGCGTATTTCTTCAAGTGTTCAATAAAATTTTGTATTTTAGGCTTCATTGCCTTGGACCCTGAAAGCAAGTTTAAGATTAGGGGTCTTCAACCTGAAAGGGTTAGGTGGTGGAGGCAGGCTCCATGCATAGTATTAAGAACAAGTATAATGGGACAAGATTAAGAGGGAGTGAATCAAGCAAGTTGAAAGGCAGGGCCAGGAGCTGAGAATAGACCTCTGCAATAACAATGAGCGCGCACGTGCAGATAGCACTGTATGCTCAAACCCCTACTAAAACTATAATATTAAAGGTTCACAAGCATAGTCTTGCAGTGTTCCTTACCTCAACGTCATCTTCCTCCTCTTCAGTGGTTTCCTCCTCTTCAGCTTCCTGCAGCCATTTCAAGAAAGGCTGAGCTTTGGCATGAATCTCTGCAGCAGTTTCCTTTGTCACATATTTCTTTGAAATCTTCTTTCCCCAGTCTAGTAACACCTCTTCTTCAACAATATCATGGTCATACATTGCCTAAAATTAAACATACCATATTAAAACCCTGGAAGACCATATTTAGTGTAATTTTTTTTTTCCAACACATTGGCTGTCTCCCACTGAGAGAGACAGGGTGACCCAAAAGACACACTTTCACCATCCTTCACACAATGCAACATTTTTATTGTACTAAAACTACATACTCAAGGAAAAACTTTACAAATGTTAGCTTTCCACCTATTCCTTACATTAAGATGTCTCTTTGATACAACCCATGTTATACTTCAAATTTATAAATACAATATTACCCTTTAAGCATAACATTGGTCACTAATTTTAAGGATTTCTTCACACTGCCATGATTTAAAAAAAAGTATGAAGATATACATAAAGCAAGATATGCAACCTGGGAAGCTGTCAGTTCATGAGTGACATACAAATTTCACAAACATCTGGTCTTTGTCAAAGTAATTTTTGTACTGGTCTTTACCTATTTAACTTGTGCATCCATTAACAGGTCTAAAACAAATGCATGCTACAAATATACTTGCCTTTAAAATCATGGGAACCTTGGGAAGCAACAGATCCTTATTCAGTTCAATCAGTTTCTCAACAGCACCAATGAAGTACTTTTGACTCTTGGGATTTCCATGGGTAAAGAGGAGGAGAAGGATTCGATATTGAGGAATCTGAAATTTGTTAACAAATTTATAGTAAAAGTAAAATTAATGACAAAGTGCTTCATGTAATTCCTACCAAATTTTTTTTTTCTCTCAACAAGTCGGCCGTCTCCCACCGAGGCAGTGTGGCCCAAAAAGAAAAAATCCCCCCAAAATATTTTCATCATTCAACACTCACCTCACTCATACATAATCACTATTTACAGAGGCACCCAGATACAACAGTTTAGAAGCATATATAAAGAAATACAATGCATCCCTCCAAACTGCCAATATCTCAAACCCCTCTAAAGTGCAGGCACTGTACTTCCCATTTCCAGGACTCTAGTCCAGCTATGTAAAAATAACTGGTTTCCCTGAATCCCTTAACCCTTAAACGGTCCAAACGTATATATATGTTTTTTCAACATCTGAAAGTATGTAAAAAATGTAGATCTTTGTTTTACATTTGAAAACGTGTAAAAAAAAAAAGTAATCTACTTTTGTAGCACTACGAATTTGAACGTCTATTTGTTTGGACCGTTTAAGGGTTAACTAAATATTACCCTGCTCACACTCCAACAGCTCGTCAAGTCTCGAAAACCATTCGTCTCCATTTACTCCTAATATGATAACATGCCGGAAGTCCAAGCCCCTCACCCACAAAACCTCCTTTACCCCTCCCCCTCCAACCTTTCCAAGGACAACCCCTAACCCACCTTCCTTCCCCTACAGATTTATATGCTCTCCAAGTTATTCTACCTTGATCCACTCTTAATGACCAAACCACCTCAACAACCCCTCTTCAGCCCTCTGACCTATACTTTTAGTAAATATTATGCACAGAATTCTGTGCATAATATTTACAACACACACTGCCCTTCGACAGGACATCTCCACTGCTTCGAAAACCCCCTCCCCCGCTGCAGCATTTACAATCCAAGCTTCACACCCATATAAGAGTGTTGGTACCACTATACTTTCACAAATTCCCATCTTTGCCTCCATAGGTAACATTTTTGTCTACAGATACTTCATCGTACCACTCACCTTTTTTCCTTCATCAATTCTATGGTTAACCTCATCCTTCATAAACTTACCTGCTGACAAGTCAACTCCCAAACATCTGAAAACATTAACTTCTTCCATACTCCCTCTCCAATGCAAAATCCATTTTTTCTTTAAATAATTTGATACTCTCGTCACCTTAGTCTTATCTATGTTCACTTTCAACTTTCTACCTTTACACATTCTCCCAAACTCATCTACTAACCTTAGCAACTTTTCTTTAAAATCTCCCATAACCACAGTATCAACAGCAGAAAGCAACTGTCAGCACCCATTTTGCACTATTCTCCACAATTTAATCCCACTCCTCTCCAACACTAGCATTTACTTTTTACAACCTCATCTATAAATATATTAAACAACCATGGTGACATTACAGATCCCTGTCTAAGACCTACTTTTACCGGGAAGTAGTCTCCCTCTCTCCTACACACCCTAAGCTGAGCCTCACTATTCTCAAAAACTCTTTACAGCATTTAGTAACTTTCTACCTTTTCCACATACTACTTGCAACATCTGCCACATTGCCCCCCTATCCACTATCATATGCAATCCATAAATGCAATGAAAACTTCCCTACCTTTATCTAAATACTGTTCAAATATATGTTCACATATATGCCAGTTGTGAGTGTGGGGGAAGTTCGTGAGGCAGTAGGTAAAATGAAAGGGGGTAAGGCAGCCGGGATTGATGGGATAAAGATAGAAATGTTAAAAGCAGGTGGGGATATAGTTTTGGAGTGGTTGGTGCAATTATTTAATAAATGTATGGAAGAGGGTAAGGTACCTAGGGATTGGCAGAGAGCATGCATAGTTCCTTTGTATAAAGGCAAAGGGGATAAAAGAGTGCAAAAATTATAGGGGGATAAGTCTGTTGAGTGTACCTGGTAAAGTGTATGGTAGAGTTATAATTGAAAGAATTAAGAGTAAGACGGAGAATAGGATAGCAGATGAACAAGGAGGCTTTAGGAAACGTAGGGGGTGTGTGGACCCAGGTGTTTTACAGTGAAACATACAAGTGAACAGTATTTAGATAAGGCTAAAGAGGTCTTTGTGGCATTTATGGATTTGGAAAAGGCGTATGACAGGGTGGATAGGGGGGCAATGTGGCAGATGTTACAAGTGTATGGTGTAGGAGGTAGGTTACTGAAGGCAGTGAAGAGTTTTTACGAGGATAGTGAGGCTCAAGTTAGAGTATGTAGGAAAGAGGGAAATTATTTCCCAGTAAAAGTAGGCCTTAGACAAGGATGTGTGATGTCACCGTGGTTGTTTAATATATTTATAGATGGGGTTGTAAGAGAAGTAAATGCGAGGGTCTTGACAAGAGGCGTGGAGTTAAAAGATAAAGAATCACACACAAAGTGGGAGTTGTCACAGCTGCTCTTTGCTGATGACACTGTGCTCTTGGGAGATTCTGAAGAGAAGTTGCAGAGATTGGTGGATGAATTTGGTAGTGTGTGCAAAAGAAGAAAATTAAAGGTGAATACAGGAAAGAGTAAGGTTATGAGGATAACAAAAAGATTAGGTGATGAAAAATTGAATATCAGATTGGAGGGAGAGAGTATGGAGGAGGTGAATGTATTCAGATATTTGGGAGTGGATGTGTCAGCGGATGGGTCTATGAAAGATGAGGTGAATCATAGAACTGATGAGGGAAAAAGAGTGAGTGGTGCACTTAGGAGTCTGTGGAGACAAAGAACTTTGTCCTTGGAGCAAAGAGGGGAATGTAATGAGAGTATAGTTTTACCAACGCTCTTATATGGGTGTGAAGCATGGTGATGAATGTTGCAGCGAGGAGAAGGCTGGAGGCAGTGGAGATGTCATGTCTGAGGGCAATGTGTGGTGTGAATATAATGCAGAGAATTCGTAGTTTGGAAGTTAGGAGGAGGTGCGGGATTACCAAAACTGTTGTCCAGAGGGCTGAGGAAGGGTTGTTGAGGTGGTTCGGACATGTAGAGAGAATGGAGCGAAAACAGAATGACTTCAAGAGTGTATCAGTCTGTAGTGGAAGGAAGGCGGGGTAGGGGTCGGCCTAGGAAAGGTTGGAGAGAGGGGGTAAAGGAGGTTTTGTGTGCGAGGGGCTTGGACTTACATCAGGTATGCATGAGCGTGTTTGATAGGAGTGAATGGAGACAAATGGTTTTTAATACTTGACGTGATGTTGGAGTGTGAGCAAAGTAACATTTATGAAGGGGTTCAGGGAAACCGGCAGGCCGGACTCGAGTCCTGGAGATGGGAAGTACAGTGCCTGCACTCTGAAGGAGGGGTGTTAATGTTGCAGTTTAAAAACTGTAGTGTAAAGCACCCTTCTGGCAAGACAGTGATGGAGTGAATGATGGTGAAAGTTTTTCTTTTTCGGGCCACCCTGCCTTGGTGGGAATCGACCAGTGTGATAATAAAAAATAAAAATATATGCTTCAATGTAAATGCATCCCCTACCCACTCTAAAGCCTCCTTGCTCATCTGCAATCCTACTCTGTCTTACATATTTTTTTTTCAGTAATAACCCTACCATACACTTTACCTGGTATACTGCAATTTTTTGTTTTTTAAAAAACAAGTCATCCATCTCCCACCAAGGCAGGGTGACCTAAAAAGAAATAAAATCCCCAAAAAGAAAATACTTTCATCATTCAACACTTTCACCTCACTCGCAAATAATCAGTTTCTGCAGAGGTGCTCAGAATACAACAGCTTAGAAGTATTATTTTTTTATTATCACACTGGCCGATTCCCACCAAGGCAGGGAGGCCCGAAAAAAACTTTCACCATCATTCACTCCATCACTGTCTTGCCAGAAGGGTGCTTACACTACAGTTTTTAAACTGCAACATTAACACCCCTCCTTCAGAGTGCAGGCACTGTACTTCCCATCTCCAGGACTCGAGTCCGGCCTGCCGGTTTCCCTGAACCCCTTCATAAATGTTACTTTGCTCACACTCCAACATCACGTCAAGTATTAAAAACCATTTGTCTCCATTCACTCCTATCAAACACGCTCACGCATGCCTGCTGGAAGTCCAAGCCCCTCGCACACAAAACCTCCTTCACCCCCTCCCTCCAACCTTTCCTAGGCCGACCCCTACCCCGCCTTCCTTCCACTACAGACTGACTCTTGAAGTCACTGTTTCGCTCCATTCTCTCTACATGTCCGAACCACCTCAACAACCCTTCCTCAGCCCTCTGGACAACAGTTTTGGTAATCCCGCACCTCCTCCTAACTTCCAAACTACGAATTCTCTGCATTATATTCACACCACACATTGCCCTCAGACATGACATCTCCACTGCCTCCAGCCGCCTTCTCACTGTAACATTCATCACCCATGCTTCACACCCATATAAGAGCGTTGGTAAAACTACTCTCATACATTCCCCTCTTTGCCTCCAAGGACAAAGTTCTTTGTCTCCGCAGACTCCTAAGTGCACCACTCGCCCTTTTCCCCTCATCAATTCTATGATTCACCTCATCTTTCATAGACCCATCCGCTGACACGTCCACTCCCAAATATCTGAATACATTTGCCTCCTCCATACTCTCTCCCTCCAATCTGATATCCAATCTTCCATCACCTAATCTTTGTTATCCTCATAACCTTACTCTTTCCTGTACTCTTTTAATTTTCTTCTTTTGCACACCCTACCAAATTCATTCACCAATCTCTGCAACTTCTCTTCAGAATCTCCCAAGAGCACAGCGTCATCAGCAAAGCAACTGTGACAACTCCCACTTTGTGTGATTATCTTTTAACTCCACGCCTCTTGCCAAGACCCTCTCATTTACTTCTCTTACAACCCCATCTATTAATATATTGAACAACCACGGTGACATCACACATCCTTGTCTAAGGCCAACTTTTACTGGGAAATAATTTCCCTCTTTCCGACATACTCTAACTTGAGCCTCATTATCCTCTTAAAAACTCTTCACTGCTTTCAGTAACCTACCTCCTACACCTGCAACATCTGCCACATTGCCCCCCTATCCAC